AGATTTATAGTTGGTTGGTGAGAAATACAAGTGACAACCTGGAATTTGCGATTGGTATCTGAAGCTTGGGAAGTGGGGCAGCCTTATAGGATTGAGCCCTTAGTTTGTAGGATCTGACACTATCTTTAGGTAGATAGTGTCAGAATTACATTAAATTGTAGGAGGCCTTGCTGGTATCAAAGAGAATTGCTTGGTGTGGGGAAAAAAACCACACATCTGGTGTCCTTGGAAGAGAAATTAGTGATGTCTGTCAAGCTACCTGGGGGAGCGATAAGAGGTAGCATAACCAATAGGAAGCTATTGCCACAATCTGGCCTGAGTTTAGAAAGGCCTGGCTTGGAGCATGACGAGGGGAATGGAAAGAGCAGGAAGCAGAGGCAGAGGAAAGCTGGTCAGCAGATCCGATGAGGGAGGAAAGATGAAGAAAGGGAAGTATTTCTGAGGCCCTTCCACAACTTTATGCCTGGATGGCTGGAAGAGTATTTTTATTCTTAAAAATATTTCATCCATCCATCCATCCGTCTGTCCGTCCATCCAACATTCCTTGGCATCACTGCACAGGGTTTCTCAACCTTACAAACAGAAACAAGATTTGTTTCCCTAAGCCTTTCAGTTTATTGAGTCCCTGTTAATATGCCAGAATTTATGCCAGACACTGAATTAGTATGATTAAGAGAGCCTTGGCCCTGAAGAGATGAAGAGGAAAAAGGAAACCAGCAGTGGTAAAAATTAATGCTACTCCTATAACTGTGTCTGTTTTCTTCCACTGCTTCCTCACTGTTGTCCTGATCCCTGTGTCTCCTAATTCCAAATGTGTGGTTCTGGGCCCCACACATTTTAAAGATGTAGCCAGATCAACTGGCCTTGAGTATCCAATAGAAAGGCAAAATTTGTAAGTTTTTCTGCTTAAAAGTTTTTCCTCTTAAATTTACTTTTATTTTTGTTTTCCGAATTCTAATCTGAACCGTTCCATGATACAATATATGCTTTTTCTTTGGTCTTATTTTGAGTTGACTTTAAAAAAATACTACCAAGAATTTAGTTAGGAGTTTTTACTACAGTGAAGAAATGGCAGTCTAAGTAAAATATCCAATTAGAAAAACACCAATTATCACCTGGAGAAAACATGCAAGACAATAAGATGATTGTTTTAATTGTATGGGCAGGACTACTGTGTCTGGGAATTTCCACTCACCTTTTTCTAAGAAAAGATTCCAAAAGAAGCCTATCTTTCTGCCTCATCTCTGTATTTCTCAATCTTCCCCTCCCAAGAAAAGGAGCAGGCACAAATCTACTTACACTTAGTTAGGCAGCAATCCTTCCCCTTCTCTGCCTTAAACTCATTAATAAATAAAAGTTGTCAGGGTGTGCCTCAAATAGTCTCACTCCTCCTCTCTTCTCCAGTATATTCTGTGCACTTGGAATTACTCCACATTCTAAAATGGAAATAAAAGTACTTACCTCACAAGGCTGTTCCAAGGATAAGTATTTGAGCTTATTTGTCCAAAGCTGAGGACTGAGTTAATTAACATGTTTAAGTATATGTAAACTTTAGACTTAAAATCCAACTTCTAAAGATCTAAGTGCATGGACAGGGGCACTTAGCAGAGATACCGTGCAGAAGTAGGGAGAAATTAGAACATCATAAAAGATGAGTACTGGAAATCAGCATTCTAAATAAAAATAAAACAAACCCTTAGTATCAACCCCTCTATTTCCTTAGGCTTTTATGATCATACGAGCTTCAAGCAGTACTGTTACATGAAGGGGCCTGGCCCCCAGCGGGTTTGCCTAGGGCTGGCTGGTAGTGTGTGGGTTCTTGACTTCTGCCGGACAGATTTCACAGTATGAGTCCAGGTGGTTTTTGAAAGTACGTTTATTAAAGCTGAGGATGGTGAAACAAAGAAGAGATTAACATATTGGAAACAACAGGAGAGAGACTAGGTGGGGCTGCTTTGGCTCCCTAGAAGTGTTACAGGGAAGAAATGAGCCTTGGTGGGGCTGCTTTAGCTCACTATAGCTCGGTCTGAGGATTAGCCCAGGCCGAGCTGCTGCTGCCCGCTGCTCCCGCTGCAAACCTCATGGGGTCCCTCAGGGTTTAGGAGATGCATGCCTGTGGGGGAAAAAGTGTGGGGAGGGACAGGCACAGGGATGCTCCTGGGAGGAAGTTTGTGGCCAGGGGACCTTTGTTTTGAGGGGTTTTAAAGGTTGGGAATCTTGGGGAGGTATTACGGGAGGATCCAATAGAATATTCATCAGCTTTATGCTGATGTGCCAAAATGAGATTTAGTCCCTTAACTTCATCTGTCCTTGGGCGTGGTTGGCCAATGGCACTAACTGAATTTCTGCTATCTCCCTGAATAGGGAGATTTAAACTATTTACCTCTTACTGGGGAGGAGAAGTGCAAACTTCTTACTTTTAAGTGTCCTTGGTTAGGAAAGATGGGACTTACTAGATGGCTGCAAAGTGTTTGATTAACTCTCTTTCTCGGTTTCCCTATTTTGCTTGTTCTGGCTTACTAGCCTGTATCAATACTATTTGTGTTGCTTCAGGTAGGGCATTTCACCTCTCTGGATGTGTCTTTCATTTAGAAGAGGACTCACTGAAATTCTCTATCTCAACGTTGTCCTTTAGGCTAAAAATACTTCTGTAAAAGGGATGTTTTAAACCTAGCTTAAAACCAACTAAAATTATTTCCTGAAAAGCTTCCAAGATATTCAGAACTCACCCAGATATATTGGGGCACACGAAATTATTAGTAAAAAATTCACTCCTTAACCTCAAAAAGCTTATAATTAAATTAATAAATCAATATTCAAATCATACAAATATCCCCAAATTCACAAGGCATCAAATAAACATTTACTAAGTCACATTTCACTGATGCTAAGGGTCAAGGAGAACTGGAGTAATCAGAGATGGCTTCAAGGGGGACGGAGGACTTCAGTCAGATGTGGTGGAAGACAAAAATTTGAATCAATGGAAAACAAGGTATAGGACAAAGAATATGAAATCTGTGTTATTTCTTTACAAAGCCTATGTCCTTTCTTTAACTTTAGTCCTGACTTTTTAACCCTTAACAGGCTTTTTATCACCTTTACCCTTCAATCAATCCACAAATATTGAGGTTTACTATATATAAGTGCTTCATTTAAATAATAAAGATTTTTCAGTTTAAGAAAGAGGGAAGATTTATGATGAAACAACAGACAGCTCAAAAATAAAAATAACCCCAAACTCACATTATATTGGTTATAAAACAAATGATACCTGTTTTCTTCAAGAGAATTTTTAAACTTGCTCTTGCTATCTCACCATTAATCAATTAAAATTGAACTCAGCATGAAACCTAAATTAAATAAATGGGTAACTTTTTTTACTTAGATCAGTCACAGTGCAAGGAAAAAATATTTTTACATGAATATTTCATAACCTTGCTCTTTCTTGCAAATCATAGTTTTTAAAACCAGTTGTCTTTTGCCACTAGAAACAGTACTTCATTCGACAGCTGTAGAAATAGCCTAAGCTATTCAATAGCTCATTTATGATACAGCACTGAATTTATCTAGCAAAAACACAACGCACGCATGGGTACTTCCTTTTGTCCTGTATATTCTAAATCTTGTCCAAAAGCAAAGGAAAGAAAGTACAGATGGACAGGATATCCTCAAATTATTCCATTTGATTTATGTCATTCCAAGGAAAAATCTAGAGACCAATTCACAGTTAGAAATTCAAATTAAGTAGAAAGATTTAGGGCAGCAAGTCCTGGGGCTGAAAGACAAGCCTTCCTTATCAACAGCTTGTCTTTCACTAGGCAAGTTTGGAAGACATGAAGCCTTTGCCTAAAGGGAAATTGGAAAATCCTGGCTTTCCAGGATTCACCTACTTCATTCAATACAGCTCTTAGTTTCAGAGAAAGAGATTAGGTTAAGGATAAGAGGATGTACGGCATTTCTTAGGAACACTAATAGAATCCAAGAACCTTAAAATCTATCTAGGTAACATTACAACAGATAACACCAAAGAAAAAGAAAAAAAATAAAAACAACAAAAACAAATACAACAGATTGAATTTAGTGTTGTGGTGGCATTTCAGTGTACTTGTCCATTTCAACCCAATTCTTAAGGCACATTATGTATATTATTAAGTCACTGCACATCCAATACATTTCAGCAAATACACCAGAGAACCTAGTAGTATGTGTTGGATACTATGCTTGGTACTGAGGCTATACTAGCTTTTCTTGTGATACCAGACCACTTAATCTCTAAAAGCTTGTTATTTTATCTGTGTAAATAATTTATTGTGATACATACATGGCTATGATGAAGGTTTAAAGAAGTCAATGAATATAAAGTCCTGAGCACAATGTGTGCTCTCACTCAAAATCATGGCTTTTTAAAAACATGTTTCTTCTTCTGTTTTTCCATTTTACTATTAGAGTGGAAACTAGATAGGCATAGGCTTGTAATCTTTAAGCTCACAGTCAAGTAGAAGATATAGACAATGACCAGATATAAGGATGATGATAGTGGTTTTAAGGACACTGTTGCTACTAAGTGCTAATAGCAGCTGGAGCCTGGACACACCATTACCAAAGCGCCATTCTAAGCACACAGCTCATTAATCAATCCTTATTAACAACGCTCTCAGGCACCTAAGGCAGTGAGAGTTGGTATACATATATGTGGGAGTGACCCTCTAAATCTCATTCTTGAGTGTCTGGGAAAGTACCTTCTTGGAGTTAATGATATTAATCAGATAAAACGATGCAGGGTTGTGGGGCTGGGATTGTAAAAGAACTTCTGAGCAAAGAGAACTAAGATGTATAAATGCCCAAAGCAGAGAATGTGCACAGGGATGACCAAAGAACTAAAAGAAGTTAGGTTCAGGCAATGTACATGCAAGGTTCTAAGCAATCTCTAAATTGACGCATTAGTTAAAGGGGTTACTGGAGAGAGAGAAAAAGAGAGGTATACTGCCGGAGATGCCCACCTGTTAGCAGCAGCCTGTACTGAGGGATCCTCTGAACTGGCTTGAGCAGGTAGTGCTTGAGGGCCAGATTAGCACAGCGTGGGCTCATCTGAAAGGAAAAGGCATCCTATGTAAACACAAGCATTGTTCTAAGAAGCAGGGGACCTAATTCAGATGCCCAGGAAGCCAAATTTTAAAGAGCCAGCAGCTCTGGAAGGGGATTCAGGGAGAAACTCCCTTTATTTCAAGAGACAGCGCTTTAGCTGCTGAGAGTGAAACCAAAGCCAATTAATTCACCACGTAGCTCACCCTCTCCCATAGGTAAGTCTTTCAAATTACTGACTCATTGGGAAAACTTGCTCACAGCCCTCTCACAGAGGTGGCGGTTGCAGTCTGCATTCTCAGCCAGTTAGAGGCTATCCTACTCAGAGGCTACCACTTAGAAGAGCCTTTGCCAATGTATTCATAGACATAGACATTTTTTCCTCAACCAGGAAAAAAAGGCATGGCCCTCAAATAAAGTGGCAGAAATAAAAGTACTGGGATTCGGATTCAAATAAAAGTCAGAGCCTATCAATACATTCATAATAACAATTGGTAGTAGTGGAGAGATTGCAGAAATTAAAGATAACCTAAAAAGCAGCCTTGCTAAACATCCTTTCTCTAATAGGCCTGCAGAACATAAAACCTTTTCTCAGATGATTAGCTATAAAAGACAGCCCCCAAATCACAATGGATATAAAAAGATTTGATACAGAACCATTTTGACTTGAACACAAGGCCATTTGATTCTGCCTTTAAAGCTCTTTTCCTCAGTATGTACAACAGTCTCTTCTGCTCATTCCTAAGCCCCACCTCCATTGTCCAACACAGGTTTTTACTGTGAGGTATCATCAAAATGGCCAAGTGAAAATGTCCCTCATCCAAAGATATTCTGCCTTTCTTATACAGTTCAAGTGGGTGGGGAACAACTTTTCCACATTTGTTCAGACTGTTTTCTCTGTTTCTAAAATGCACCTCCAGGGTCTGGTACACAAAATAATAATGAAATCATAATGATAATGCACATTAAGAAAGCATCTACCATACAAGCATCATTAACCTGACAGCTAACTTTCGCCTGTCTTATGTTTTCTTTTGCTGCCAAGGCAACAGAACAACCATTTGACCTGATTAAAACCTGGGTCAATTGTCAGTTCCATAACTATGTACATCACACTTCCGTTCTTAATAGCTTATCAGGAGAGCGGTAAAAAAAGGGAAAAAAAGACTAGGAACAATTTTAAGTTTAATTATTTGTCTTTTTTTTCAAAACGCATATGCCATTAATTTAAAATAAATTTATTTCTACACAGCCTTGTTTTTTAAAAAAATTGTACTGTCTTACAATGCTATTTGAAACCTGCAGAGTAAATTAGAAATGAGAAAGAAAAGGGAATGCTTGGTTTTCTTTTGAACTGCTTTTTGGAAAACTGTTTTTGGTAACTATTTTACAGACTAAAAATTAACACGTGATCTGGTTATTCTGTTGCCTAATGTACAAATTAGAAATCAGCAATATCTAATTTTCTAGTTTTGTGTGACTGGAATTCACAAAATTTTTAGTTTCAAAACAGGGAAATAATCACTAAAATATACAGTAATTTTACCCAAAATTAGGGGAAGGGACTTAAGTAAAATTTTAGTTAAAAATTGATTTTTAAACAATATGCCTAATATCATTTTATTACCAGTCAAATCAGGCTTGTACCTTCACAGCTTTGAGTCAAAACACAAAGCTTTGGCAATAAACATATTATTCATTTTTCTTAATGTTGACACTAAAACTGTGTTATTTATTTATCTTAAGGGAAACAAATTATATTTCCCATCCATGACTGTAGAATAATTGTTAGAAGAATAAAGGGAGGGCCCTGGCCAACCTGCTCGGTTGGCTAGTGTCATCCCGATATGCCGAGGATGCTGGTTTGATCTCTGATCAGGTCCCATATAAGAAGCAACCAATGAATGCAAAATTAAGTGGAACAACAAATCCATGTTCCTCTCTCTCTCCCTTCCTAAAGTAAATAAATAAAAATTTTAAAAAAGAATAAAAGGAAAGGTTAAGTTAAAAATAAGAAATGTTCCCTGGAGTGGCCAAATTCATGGAGACAGAAAGCAGAAAGGAGGGGGCCGAGGGCTCTGGGGAACAGATAATGGGGACTCAACTGGTGTCTAATGGGTATAGCTTCAGTTTTTCATGATGGAAACAGTTCTGGAGGTTAGTTGCATAACCAAGTGAATGTACTTAACACTACTGCATGAACCTAAAAATGGTTAAGATGGTTAAGTTTTATTTTGTGTGTATTTTACCACTAATTAAAAAATGATACTCTTTAAAATATTCCAATGTATAATAACAGATTTCCAAAACTAAGTCTTGTAGACACTGTCTGAGTTCTGTTTAATTTGTTCAATTCCCTCTTTGATTTTGAAGGGATTATATTTTAATACCCTTTTTGTTTGCAAGGTTTATTTTCAATGACTGCAAATTATTAAAACTCTAAAAGCACACAAAGAAGAGCTCAACATTAGATGGTAGGAAAAATACCTCAAATTCTTTAACAACAGCAGCGAAACCTGGGTTTTTCTTGCACTGCTCATCCAGCAAAGCTATATTCTTATCAAATTCTTTTATGTATGTGGAATACATTTTTAGATATGGCCCCTTCTTTACAAAGATATCAGCAAGTCTTTGCTGTTCCGTCCTAAAGACAGAGAAGACACAAAAATATGAAGAGTCATTAATGCATATAAAACATATCCAATGAGTAGAGTCCCATATTCAAGCCATCAGCTTCTGTCTTGTCTTGTGAGACACTTTCTCAAATGCCTATTCTTCTCCATTTCCATGGCCACCATCACATCTTGCCTGGACTCAGCCAGCAAGAAGGTCTCCTGCTTCTACCGTCTTCTTCTTCTGTTCAGCCAGAAAGTCTCAAAGCATGTGTTATAGGCCTCTGTGGCACGTAGCAGAAAAACCAACTCTTTATCTGGGCTTACGAAGCCCCACAGGTGCCACTGCTCGTATTTTTCTGACCCATTTCACCCTTCTCTTCCTCTTTCTCATTACTCTCCAACCACACTGGCCTTCATATTCCTTTGACATACAGAGTCCATGAACACTTTAAAAACTTTTATAATGGTTCCACATACCTGAAAATATAGACCCCAGGCTAGCTGCTCCTTTTTGTTCCGATGTAAGTTTCAACTCTCTGCCTTCTTTTAGAGGGCCTTTGGCCACACAATCTTCATTCACTAATACATGTTTCTATTTTATGTATATGCAGATCAGAAACTGCTTCTAATTTTTTTTGTAGATTTGTCTGGTGCTTTCCCCATCAAAATGTCTGCTCCGTAAGAGCAAGAGGCTTGTATGTTTTGTGTGCTGTGATGTGCGTAGCATTCTTAGAGTGTTGACTAGCACACAGTAGGTGTTCAAAACTTGTTGAATGCAGATTTTATTGTTATTAAAAGCCAATGTAAAAATAAATGTTATTTTAGAAAGTCTACTAAAAACAAAGACTATGTCTTGATTAAAAGACACCTAAAAAAATATTTTATTAAGTAGAAAATATTTTATCCAAGGATTAGAAAAGTTTTGTTAGTAATAAATATAGCTTTTACCATAATTTTTGTTTTAGTTGTACCTTAAGTTAGTCTGTCTCTTAGGAATGCTTAATATTTTAACAAAGAACATCTATAAATCTAAATTTGAGGAAACTTCAGTGCAAGCAAAAAATATATTTAAGCCTCTACTTGCATAAATGTACATATTGAAGTCACTGAAGATTATTTTTAAGAAAAATTTTCTAAGAATGATGAGGTATGTATTTATAAGGAGCTACTTATAAATATATTTTATTTCTACCATGACTTTAAAAACTACCTTTTAGTCATTTCTCAGTCCTTAACTCTGAATTATTTTGTATTTAAACTGCAGCTAGGTATTAATTGCTTCTCTAGCATATTTTCTCAACAAGCAGAGACATGATATTTCCAAAACAGGCAGTGATATCTTTCTGGATCATATATAAGACAATTTAGAGGGAAGTTATGATCATGAAAATATGTGATACTGTTTTGTTACTCAAATCATTTTGGTTTCTCTATGGACTTCAACAATAAATTTGATCCTCTAAACCAAACTTTGTACATATTTCCAAAGCTGTCACTGAAATTTCTCCTTACTGGCTACATCGCATGAAAGCTGTAAACATTTTGGTGTCCTTTACCTGTTCTGAAATCTACAGCATCTACAATAATGTCAGATGTAAATTTTCTAGACCAATCAAACAAATCATCAAGTAATCTCAGTGAATGGCCTCTTTTCCAAAATTAAAGGGAGTTTCATGACTTGAAGCTCCAGAAAAGAAAGATGAAACTATACACATTTTTTCCAATGTGAAAATATCAACTACACTCCATCTCGAAAATCTTTTTTTCTTTTCTCTTCATTGTTCAGTCTCAAAAATCTTGATTTTTGTTACTTATAAAAAGTTAAATTGGCTGATTACGGGTCCTTCTTCATTATGGCTTCATCTAAAATTGGAAACCTTGGGGGAAAGTTGGTTAGTACATTTTTACCAGTTCAACATTCTTTCCTCCAGTTCCTTCAAGAGATCCCGGTTCAGCTCATACAGCTGGGGTAAGTAGTACAGGATCTGATTTAGGATCCGGTCCTCAATCACTGGTTTCCCAAGCTGTCTGGAAGCATGGGCTACAGCATCCCGGAAATCCTATTACAGTTCAGAGAAGGAAAAACAATATACTTACACATATAAGCTGATAAAAACTCCTTTTCCTAGTCACCATATATCCTAAAACAACATAATTTAAAAAACTGTGCTCCCCTCGTAGAATTAAAAGTTGAAAAGTATCCACTTCCTTCTGTCCCACTTACCTAGACAGAAACATTTTTTTAAAAATACAGAGTACTTGGGGTAGATAATTGGTTTTAAAGCAGAGTGCATGACGTTGCTCTTAAATCTTTGATTTGATCTCCAAACTTAGCAATTATACTAAGGGCAAGTCTAGGTAAGATAGCGTGTTGCAACTCTAAGTAGTCTAAAATTATTCCAATACTGCAATATGAACAAAATCTATTTATTTTCAAAGTCCTCAGGAAATCTTAACTAATTTTATTCTGGGAGAATCCCTTTGTCAACTTTCAGCAATCATTTCCCAAAAGCCAAAGCATTCTAGGCGAGGCATGTGCAGGGTGGCACATTCTTGATAATCTGAGAATACTGGATCTAAGCCCTCACTCCTGACTTACTGTTTCCATCAGCTGGCTTACTTTCCTCATACTTTTCATTATTAAAAATAAAGCCAAATAATAATGCATTTCATCTGTACCAAAGTCATTTGAACAAAATGATTTTCTTGCAGAAAGTTTTCATTTTATTAGACATTTTTCGTTCACTAGTTAAAGAAAAATTAAGCTGTCCAAAATAGTATATAAGAGGGAAATCTAAGTATGGTTAAGGCAAAAAAATAAAGTTTCTAAAGAAAACCAGTGATGGTTTCTTACCAACGAATATAACGCTGTTATTTCTAGGTTGCTTTTGTTTCTGTTTTCAGGGAAGGAAGGACAATATGCCCAGCTCAAAAAACGCTTTCTCTTCAGAGTCTTTTTCAGCTAGGGATGCCCACAAGACCCATTTAACTCTAGTTACTAAGATATAGATGAAAAATTCTGAGAATGCCCTCAGGAAAACTTGTTCATGACTATAATCAATAATTATTTTTACCTTCTAAATTCTGTCATATTTAGAATTATAGATAATCTGTTAAATTGAGAAGTACTTCGTCTAGGTGTAAAATGTGTATCAGCTAGCAGATAACCTTTAGAATTTGAAGTCTGGCTTTGTTGTCACCATTGTTTAGTTTCTATGTGTGTGTATATATATATATATAGTTTACATCCAAATTTAAGGTTGATTTTCTTCTTTGAAAGATTTTTTTGGGGGGGGGAAATCACAAAGTAGTAGACAAAAGTCATTTTCTGGTGTTGCTCATTAATATTTTGTATTTTTTTATTTTTTTCTATTTACCTTTAGACCTCTTTCACCCATTTCTCCCTCTTATCTGTTAAATGGGTTGTTAAACTTTAATTACCGTATTTTGCTCTGTATAATACAATCCTATGTATAATGTGTACCCACGTTTTTGGCCCAGACTTTCAGGAAAAAAATCTCTCATTTTAATTTTTTAATCCAATTATTGATTTATTTATATGTAGAAACAAAACTGATTATTGCATTCCAGGGTATTATTTTGCATGTGGATGTCATTATTGTTTTCTAGAGTTACACTTTTAATACATAAGCATAAATAAAAGAATTAAAAACATTTTTATAGATATGGAATTAGTACTACCCATGCATAATGCACATCCTTATTTCCCCCTCAAAAATTTGGGCAAAACTGTGTGCATTATACATGACAAAATATGGTAGATATTGCACCTAAAGCTTCTTACAATATATTTGGTACACAGAATCAACAGAGCATTTTAACTCTGAACCTTAAAATCTCCCCTCCCTCTATTCAACCTTCTCATTAATTCACCAAGATTTGCACTTTTAACAAATAAAATTTTTTTCTTCACATACTCTTTTTCATCAGTTTTCCCCTAGAAGACTATTTATACCCTGTTTTAAGGCAGGTCCACACCACCCCACCCTGTCATTCCAAAGATTTAGAATGGGTGGGGTAGGAGACTGGTGTTTGTCTAGATTTCAGTATCCCTGGAGGGCTGGCCTCAAGATATAAGTAAAACAATAGTGGAATCTGTTCCACATCCCTGAGGATGAAAAAATAAAAATTGTTCCTTAGAAACAATAGGTTTAATTAAAACATTTAAAGTAATGGTTGAGTAAAACAGACTCTCTCTACCAGGCTTTATTTTTCCTTTACTTTATTTCCAACTGCTTGCTTCAGAGATTCACTGGCTATTTTAGACAAGTAAAATCCTTTTGCTCAACAAATGGGGAGAAAAAACCCTTAACTCCTACCTTAGTACTGGGACTAACTCTGTCCAATAGTCTCATTAGCCCAAAGGAAACATCTACTTAGACCAGTAACTAAAAGACTTTTACAATGAATTACTGTAATATAAAGTAACTCATTAAGTTATATAAACCCCAATCCAGAAAACCACACAAAACATCTCCAGAAATTAAATGGATATGGGCCAAAGTCCACCTCCCAACAGCTTGTTTCTATCAGCACACACACTTATTAAGAGAAATAAGGCTACTTAACACTTTTGAAAGTCATTAGATTTTTCCATCATGCAGAACAATAGAATATATTTATATATGAGGAATAACTTCCTCTATTGGAAATGTATTCAAAGCATAACAGTTAAACATCTTCTATAGTATTTTTTTTTTACCAGTTTAATGAATAATATAATTTAGACACAAGTTCCTTGTTCAACAAAGCAATAAGCACTGGCTTTTTTTCCTAGAATAAATGATGAATATGTTTGTCCTTTGGCAGCAGGATGACTTTTATTTTCCAGTTGGAAGGTATTTCCTCAGTCATGACAGCAACAGTAGACATTAGCCGCTAGTAGATTAAGGGCCCTGTGTGACACAGCTTTTGTCAGATTCTGCATTCCACATGTCTGCCACCATTGCCAAAAAGGAAACTTGTTTATTTAAGACACATTCAACAGAGACCAGCCAAATCCACATGGGTTGATCAGTGAGAGCGCTACCTCTACTTGGAGGCCCCTGTGGCATTACCAGGCAGAACGCTCCTTTTTCCAGGACTACTGGATGGCGTCGGCAGCTGCGGGTAAACTAATGGGCCATCATGCCTCTAAAAGAACTATGAATAGCATGCCAGAATTAAAACAGAAATTTAACAATTAAAAGAGCAAAAGATGTATATTTAACAAAAACTAAAGGGATTTAGAGTGTTTATATCCAGCTATCTTGGAAATTATCCCTAAGACTCAAAAAAGTTACATTTTCTAAGCGAGCAGTACAAGGGCAATCGCTGGTTTTCATGGCACCTTTTTGAAAATGGAAAAGGGCACGGTACCCCCCACTGCAGGCCAATCCACCACCAAAGGCTCTACTCGCAATTCATGGCCTTCATAACCACACACGGCAGCCCTGGCTCCAATCTTACTCCCTCATCTCTTGGACCACTATGGTCCCAGTGCCAGGTGTTCACACAGGAATGACACACAGAATTTTAAACTTTTCGACTCTTCATGAACCTCAACCATTTCTAGAACTGGTGCCACATCTTTTTCTTTCTTTCTTTTTTTTTTTTAATAAAAAGGATGATTACAACATATGTCTGGTTATTTTTCTAAATGCTAACATCCAGGATAATTTAGGGAAGTGTGATGGCACTTAGGAGCCAGAAGCAAAGCTATTTTGGGAGAAAAGAATCTAAATTCACCAACACCTCCTTGACTAAATCAGTGAGGATGCAAGACCACACGTCTAGCACTTCAAAAATTAGATCCAGAATATACTTTTCACACTGAAAAAGCTGGGTAATTAAAATAAAATGGGTGGGGGGAGTTAAAGAGTGTGAAACTGTCAGGCAATAGAAATTACTGAACGTCAACTATATAACTGCAGTCTATTCTTCTCACATAAAGCCCACCAAATCACCTACACTCTAGTTTGTGGGCACAATAACCAAATTCTGCTCAATTTGGAATTTTTATTTTATTTTTAAAGAGATTTTACTTATTTATTTTTAGAGAGAGTGGAAGGCAGGAGAAAGTAAGGGAGAGAAACATCAATGTAGGAAACATTGATATGAGAGAGTAACATTGATCAGTTGCTCTTGTATGTGCCCTGACTGGGGGACCAAACCCACAATCCAGGCATGTGCCCTGACTGGGAATCGAACCAGTGACCTTTGCTTTGTGGGACAATGCCCAAAAAACTGAACCAGACCAGTAGGGGCATCAATTTGGAATTTTTAGAATTAGAAATAGGCTTCTGAATTATAAGCATATCATAGTATTTTTCTTTTAAGATTTTATTTATTTTTAGAGAGAGGGGAAAGGAGGGAGAAAGAGAGAAAGAGAAACATCAATGTGTGGTTGTCTCTCACGCACCCTCTACTGGAAACCTGCCCTGCAACCCGGTGTGTGCCCTGACTAGGAATTGAACCGGCAACCCTTTGGTTCGCAGGCCAACACACAATCCACTGAGCCATGCCAGCCAGGGCACAAATAAGAACCAGATCAACTTTAAAAACCTCAGTTCCTTTGAGGTATGAACAAACTAGCTTTGCCAGCTCTGATCATGTGGGTAAAACCTAAGCAAAAATCAATGCAAATAAAATCAAGTATGAACATCTAAGGCAATGAAGCACAAAACAGATGGCCTTGTTTCTCGGGTCAGGCTTTATATCTCCAGTGTCAAAGAGAAGTGAGTGACTTAATTACCAGCTGTCCTGACTGGGCTTCCTGACCTTAGGGCATTACTTAACTACTGCTACTATACAATGAATTACAAAGACCAAATGGACATACGGACAGACAGGGAGCTCTGCAGGGCTCCCTGCCTTCATCAAGGGCATTAAAAATCACTTCATATTAAGCAAAAGCAAAGCAGCTGCTAAGGTCAAAGAGCTTTCATAAATATGCAGAAATGAGTATGAAACTATGAAATAAAAGCGGAGGGGGAAAGTCCCCATATTAACAATTTGACTTTGTTTTAAAATAAAAATATTTGCCCAATAAAACTATTTC